TATTCTACATGGAGTAGGGATAGATTAATGCTTATAATAATAGAAGTCACTGCGAACTAACTTGCAGTCCTATAACTGAACTGCTATAAAGCCTTTTGCTTTTGCAGTTGCAGTGATCGATTGAGTGAGAAGCAATCTCTTTGAGATATATGCGATCACTTATCTGGGGCGTCTTCTCGCATGTGGCTTTGTTTGATACAAATTCCTTTTAAAATCCAATTAGGAATAATTATCCTGCATTGCTGGATTCATGGATTTTCAAGTTATTTCCGGTCTTATAACTTCCGTATTAAATGTAATTAGAATTAATAGCAAAATACTGGATTCCTGTATTCCTGAATTTCGAAGATGCTTCCGACCTTTTAGACTCCTTATTACATGTACTTAAAACTAATGGCGAAAACCAAGATTCCCAAATGCATGGCTTTATAGGCTATTTCTGGCTGCATGAATTCCTTGTTACATTTGATTAGAAATAAATAAGAAGTCGACTAGAATTCCAGTATTCCATGTTTGAAGGATTTATGTTGAATTCTTAATGGGATTTTAAAAGGGATGTATATACAGCAAGGCCACCTCCCAAACTAGAATTTAATGATTGAAAGATTTCGTTTAAACTCATAGTTTCATTGTAAAAGGGATAATGTACAAAAAATGTTAGGATTCCAACATTTCTCCTCAATGGGGGTGAGCTATATATATATATATATGCTCACACCCCCCCCATTCGGTATTTACAGTGTGTTCAGGGTGTCGGTGGATCATGGGGGGGTGTCCATATATATATATGTATGTGTATATAGTGTATGCGTGCAAGCCCTGAGCACAACCTAGTCCTTGTCGCAAGGAACTAAGAGCAGGGACACCTGATTAACTTTTGTTTTGAATATGCATATGACGAGCATCATCTAAACGTGCAGTTTTTTTTGATGTGCAGGAGCAATTCACGCATGGCGAAGGCAAGACCCTGCACTTTCATCTTGGCTAGGGTTCAAATCTGGTCTGCAATGGTAACCTTGGGAGCCTCCGTAGACAACACATGCAAGGTCAACATGCAGCCAGGTCCTTTATCAAGTGAGTCAAAAATAAGGGGCCCAGTATGGGACGTACCCACCCTTTATTTATGATTTCATGATGGTTTTCTGAAACCAAGCACGTTCTCAAGTTTTCCATCCAAATTTTTCAAAAAGCTTGCATGTTGGTTTTACCTCTTCACGATACATGAGTTTGTTGACCATGTTCACTTGTATTTGTGAAGTTCTCGGCTCGTCTCAGCCTTGAGTGATTATTTTCTTGTCTTGTGGCCTGGAGTCCGTACTAGTTGCATCTAGAAGCTCCGAGACCTCTGGTAACCCGAGGTGGTGCTCAGCACCTAGCTTTCCATTGACAGTCAGTGCATGGACGAGGACCCGCCGTTGCTTCCGTCAGACGAAAGCCCTTTTGCAACTTCTAGCCTCGGTCAAGTTTGGGCCCGCATTCATTGCACAGGTGTCAATCTGGATTCCCAAGACCGCTCATTGGCTAGCATCCAGGTACGCATTGCTGACCAGCAGTGCGGGCACGTAACATTAGCTTCGCTTGTGCACGAGGTTCGTTACGAAATTTCAGTTGCCAGGCTCGAACTCGACCAGTCGCAGCAGAAGTTACAAAACCTTGAGGACAGACTCGTCCGATGCGAAAAATGCCTTAATCTTGACGCCCTTGATTAGTCATGTCAGATCAGGCGCCTTGTCATGGTCCAGTGCTTGCAAATTTATCCAGGCCGAAACCCAAGTATAAACTTGCAGCTCCGCCAAATAAGCCAGATCCATAGAAGCTTCTAGAGGGTCTGGATGAATCCTCTGCCCTACCCGTACCCGTGTCAAGTGCTGCTGCACCCCCCCAGGGGCATGAGCTTGTTCCGCTTGCCAATGCACCGGAGCCCGCTTGCGCAGAGCAGGTGCCAGCTGCATCCGAACACACGTTTGCTCAAGAAATCCTTGCGCCATTGCAGTGCTTTTCTCAGGGGGTAGAGACGGGCACTGAAGTTGATGATAAGGGTTCGGTTTGTACCGTTGAGCCGGATGCCCAAAGTTTTGGTATAGGGAATGCTTCTCCTGTAATAGGAGATGGTGATATTGAAGATCTCTTGAAGGTGACTGCCGATCAAGCTTCCGAATGTGGGTCGTCTTCTAGTTTCCTTTGCGTGAGCTCTGACATTGCCCGCCAATCGTCACCGGCTGATCATGCGATGCCCTTGGGTAACCAGGACAATTTAATTGCAGCCGCCCACTTGTCTTTGAGAAGTCCCCAACCAAAGCTTTTGTGGGAGGAAGGATTTTGGGGCTCTTTCTTCAATCCTGCCAAAGATATGGAGTACATGCTGCCCCCTGTTCATGAGGTCAGAGCAGTGCAAGCCCCTCAGTGTGTCCCAGCTGAAGTCGCCGAAGAACCCCAACAAAAGAAGCCTCGTTTGATGCCTGATCAAAATTTTCATGCAGTCGTTAAAAACCGAGCGGTTGTGTCTTGGAAAGAGAAGCGCGATTCGGAACGGCGTAGAGCTGTGGTCAGGTGGTCAAACTTGGTCATGATGTGGGAACCTGAAGGGGATGACCGAATCCTCGAGTTGCAGAAAGCAAGCCCGGAACATCGATTGGATATGTTGGAGACGTATATGGCCAGGAAAGCTCCAGCAACCATGCTCAAGAGGGCTTTCAGTCTGTTCCGCTTGATTAAAATGGCGCATCGTCACGGCCTCAAATTCCCTTGTGCCGAAGTTGACTTGTTCAACCTCATGTCCGAAGTCAAGAGTGGAGGGGCAACCTTGTCTCAACTCAGAGGTCTTATGGAGGCGTTGACCTTTGTCAGGTTTGTGTTTGAGTTGGACTCTTTCAGGACCTTATGTGCCAGCAGAAAGTGTTGGGGGCTGGGATCTGCCAAAAAGGCAAGATTTCCGTCCAGAGCAGCTCCATTACGTGTCAGTGATTTGATCCTCCTGCATTCGATCTTGCGCGAGTCAGCAGACTACTGGGATCGGCTGTTTGCAGGATGTTGTCTCTTTTGTGTATATGCCGGAGCAAGGTGGTCGGACGCCCAGCATGCAGGGAGTTCCAAGTTGATGCAGACCAGAAATCAGGCAAGACCGCTTTCTTTGAGGCCATTGTGGAAGTTCACAAAACCATGAGTCGGAAAGGCAAAGAACCAGTTTGTCTCGAATTGGTGAGCCCTGGGCTAGGAGTCACCTTTGACGTTTGGGTTCGGCAATTCCTGAATGTTCGTGAGAAGCTTGGCGTTTCACGCGCATACCCATTCATGCCTGCTCCAAACAGCGCTGGAGAGCTCACCATCAGGGCCCTTGCCTCAGATGAATGCAGCAGTTGGCTCCAAAGACTCCTTCCAGAAAGAGGTGGGATGCCTACCGCGTCACACAATTTGAAATCCACCGCCCTTTCGTTTTGCGCTAAATATGGGTTGGGTCATGTTGACCGCCTGGCCTTGGGCGGACATAGCCATCCTTCTAAGATTTCTGACACATATGCCAGAGACGCCTTGGCTAGACCGTTGAGGCTTCTTGCAGAGGTACTGGAGGCAATAAGAGAGAAGTTCTTCTTCCCAGATGAGACTCGAGCAGGTCGATTCAAAGAAGGAATTCGGCTTGGTGAATCGGGGTTTCCAGGAAGGCTCAGCAACGCACATGTTCTCAAGGATAAGGCCGGGGAAGCTGAGCCACCGGATGCAGACCCCAAACCCGCGGCGATTGATGATCGTGAATCTTTGGTCAGCCATTACTCTCCTAGCCAGGCCCCAAATAATGGAGGAAGTGAAGAAGACAATAAGAGTCAAGAGCCTTCTGACAGCGGTCACACTTCAAGCAGTTCGAGGTCAAGTTCACCTTCATCAAGTAGCGGCAGTGTCTCCCGGCCATTTTGCAGGCCAATCAAAGAGCCACCGGTCCCGCCAGAGGGACACAGGTTTGTGCAACATCCTGCCTTGAAGACTTTGCATTATCAACGACTGGAGCACGTTTTGCACACCATTTGCGGCAGAAAAACCGAAGATGTGTACCAGGAGCCTTGCTCAGTCCGAGCCATGCTCAGTCCGAGCCACGACGCCAGTATGCCGCAATTGTCAGAAGATTTTGAAATCTGAGATTGCAACATAGATGACATGCCCAAGCATGCAAAAGGGGAGCGCTTGCAAATCGAATGTCCTTTGAAGAAGCAGCATCTCTTCGGCATAATTCATGGCATTTTCTTGTCATCGTCATATCAGAGCATACCATTCGGGACCCCGTCTCGGGTCCTGATGGGTGGTGCCGTGACTTTGTACCACATGTTCTTGAAGTACATTGTGGGTTGATTTGTGACGACCCCGTCTCGGGCGAATGCATTCGGCTTGATCTTGTCAGTTATCGTCACCAGATCAAGGCCTCCCATCCGGGTCCCCATCTCGGGTCCCGCTGGATGATGCTGTGATGCACTACCACATGTTCGTAAGATACAATGTGAGATTGAGATTTGTGACGACCCGACCTCGGGCAAATAAGTCCTGGAACTCTTTGTCAGTTATCGTCGTCAAATCACAGCCTCGAAATGGGACCCTGTCTCGGGTCCCGTTGAAGAGAGCCGTGTTGCAATACCACATGTTCTTGAAATACACTATGGGTTGAGATCTGGGACGACCCCGGCTCGGGAACAAGCCATCAAGCCCCACCTTTTTCGGGCGTGGTCATGCTTGCTGGATGTTGCCCATGATTGCACCTGACTGGGACTTGACATTTCGTTCATGTCCCTGAAAATTTCCTTCCGCAAGGAACCCTGGGCTGGAAATTGGAGAGGCGCCATGTCTTTGGTAGACTCTGAAGCATCGTTTAAATCACGGTGCATTGCCGTAGGAGGCAATGAAGATCTTTGGAACTCCTTGAAGAGACACAACATCAAGACCTTCGCGGACTTGTCGTTTGCCTGTGGGACTCCTCAGGCACCGCCCAGTGACGATGCCTTCCGCTTGTTCTCCGAAGATATCTTTGGGGCAGGGCCTACCTTGGGCCAGACATCGAAGTTGAGGCGCCTGCATTTCGAAGCAGGCGCAGTCATTGTGGCACATTTACGCCAACAAGTCACTGGCGATTCCGCTGAAGCGCCTAAGCGTTTGCCCATGGCAGAGAAGGAGGCGCGTTATCTTGACATCAAGACTCGCCTACCAGGTCTCGTGTTGGAGGATGAGCTCCTACCTTCTCACGAGCTCGTGGACGCCGTGGCTCACATGGTGGAGGCGAATCATCTCACCTGGTTCGCCCCATCGCGCTGCACCAAAAGGGAGCAGGAGCTGCGGATTGGTGTGAAGCAGAAAGACCGAGTCTTAAGCGTGCTTGACAACGCGGTCACGCTTACCACTTTGCCAGACAAGTTGACGGCAGATCATTCTTCGCCGCTTCATTTGCAGTGGTGCCTTCAGAGGCGAGGATTGGCGCTAGATATGTGCCGCGTGTTGAGCTGGCGCACGCATGAAAAGTGGCTGGCCTTCTTGCTTCAGGCCCTTACTCGGGAAGTCCCGCCTGGGTATGCACCCATGTCGATAAATCAGCTGCTGCGTGCGGATTCTGAGATGTTCCTCCTCATATCCAAACAAGTCACCTCCTTGAAGCCAGATTCGTCAGGAACCATGCAGGTCGACCAGGCCATGTCGCAACTCGGAACAGATTCTAGGGTCACCATGCGCCTGCTTCCCTTGCCAAAGTCTGCAGCACAAGCCTCAGCCCCTGCAGAAAATGACACGCCGCCAGTGCCTCCTAATAAGCAGCGCACTAGGACTCGCACGCCCGCAAAGAAAAAGGGTTTACTAGCAGCAGCCAAGATGGAAAACTTGCCAGCTGAGTTGAAAGGTGCGAAGTTCCTCACTTATCATGATAATCGCAGACTCTGCTGGAGTCACAATTGTGAAGGAAGCAAGCTGGAAGCAACGGAGCAACCACCCGCTTGTCGCAGAGGTGTGCGTGCTTGTGCCTATTGTCGTAAGCCAGGTCACGGCGCCCGAGGCTGCTGGAATAACCCTGCATCTCCCAGTTTCAAAGGTAAAGGCAAGGGATCCAAAGGCACGGCGTCAGGCGTCGCCCAAGAGTGACGGTTGCCCAATGCCGATCACCCTTCAACAGAGGCTGTGGGTGAAACAGGCGGCATCAAATCCTTCGAATTTTGTTTCAAGCCTCAATGTTCCTCAGGCCCCACACATGGGGATGCCGAGAAGCTGGCTGCGCAGCAGTTACTAGCTCGCGGCACTTGTGATTCTGCATGCGCGCCCAATTTTTGAAGTCGAGCTCCTCGGAATGTGGGCAGGAATGAAAATTTGGGGCGAAAAGATCTGCGATTCTTTTTCGGTTATTTACCTTGACAACGAAGCTGCCAAAGGTGCCCTGCTAAAAGGATCATCCTCGACCATTCAAGGAAATCTCCTCGTTGACTCCATACTGGAGATGGAAGAGGCCTTCCGAACCAGGGCTTGGTTTGCTCGGGTGCCCACCTCGGCAAACCCAGCGGATCCCCCTGGAGCCATTTTGGCTCAAGCCCCATTCGGCTCA